ATGCAATTTCAACGCCATTTCACGAGTGTATTTTCTTGGGTTAGACTTAACAAGCGTCTTCAGAGCATCAATATCAATTCCAACATGTCGGCCCCTGCCATCACTGTTTTTATGGCTAAAGTCACCTGAACGAAATTTTCTGAACCATCGTTGACACTTACGAACGTTCAAAACATTTCCCTTCTTGTATTTAAACAGTATTACATGCCGAATTTGTGTCTCGTTATGTGTCATCACTATAAGGATTAAAGTATATTAAACTTTATACATTATATAGGCTGTACTAACGTGAGGTTTAGGCGGTTCGTTTAACTATTATACGTGATGTACGCCTTTTGGGGGGTGGTTAATGAAAGTTTTCCAAAACGCGACATTAATTCCTTGACGACCTAATATTTAAGACAAACAGTTGAAAGAAAGATATAACTGCTTTCCAAGTAAAGAACTGATAAGGATCCAACTGATTTAATGAAAATAATCTCCTCAGTTCAGTTAACAGCGCCGTCTGCAGCTGCCTTTCCATGAAAATTTGATATAATACACATATATATATATATATTATTAGCATTTTAATGTTCATTCATATTGCTTGAGTAGGCCTCTTTAAAGTATCAACTTATAGATTTTTTATAACCGAATTTTTGTACGTATTTGTCTGTACTTTTTATCTAAAAATAACTCTTTTTAATATAATTACAATGTATTGTCTCTTATTAAAAGAGCTTCTCAGACATCCAAATGCAATATATTTCGGCAAGGTGCTATTCCCACTGTACAACAAAACCATAGCTAAGGAAACGGGCAAACTCACGCTCTGCATTATGGGACCGATAGTGCATTATAAGAGTGACGGTCAAATCGCACTTGTCGATTATAGTAGCTCAAAAGCTGGTGCTATTGATTAGCTGCATTCCCTCTAGTCTATTAGTTCGAAATTATGGACGGCTAGCGCAGATAGCCCTTGTGTAGCTTTTCGCGAATATCCGCAACAACCAAACAAAAGCAACATATATATGTATAGATATATCATTGATATAATTTCAAAAAATCAAATGTTGGTAACCGTGATCGACTTCATTAGTTTTTAAAGAACTGTTTTCTCTTCTTACAGTTTGTACTATTGGAACGTACAAATCCTCAGTTGGAAACAGCCTGTGTACCTCCTGCCCTCTACACAGCTCTGCCCTCTATAAAGGTTCGATCGAATGTGCATGTGACGAAAGATATTACAGAGCTTCCACGGACTTGAAAGATGCCCCGTGCTCTCGTACGTTTTGAAACTTATTTATATTTCACTAAAGAAAAATTAACAGCCATTTATCAAGTTTGATTTACCTTGAGTCAACCTAGTTGACCTAGTCAACATTGACAATAGTGTTCAATAATTTTTACAAAAATATTCAAGTGACAATTTATTGATGAAATCTTTCATTTTTAAATACTAGAGATGAGATAGTCTTACATGTTTAATAGGGAGTAAGGGAGATCAACATATTTAAAAAACTGGGAGAACACGGTAGTGCCACGTGTCTAATAGAGAGTTAAGGATGTTTGAAATATTTAATTAGATGGGGATTGGGAAAATTCTATAGTTCTATTAAGATAAGTAGTAGACAAGCTTTCTGGCATAGGTGTAAATAACATACTTTTATTAGAGATCAATTTGTAGATAGAAATATCATTCCCAAACTGAATTTCACAGAGTAGTGTTTTGCATGTAGTAATTAAATAACACTGCTCATATCCTTAATTCAGAAACTTCGGTATGATCGAAGGTTAGTTTTTTTGAAATTGGTCATTCTTAGAAACCCGTCAAAAATGACGGAAAACCTAAGCCTATCAAACTTGAATCCTCCAATATGCATTTGCAACTTTGCCGCCCATAAACAGACATTCATTATTTTCTTATCACATCAATTGCATTATTGCAGTACTTCTCTTAAAACCGTATTTATTGTAAACTAGCGAAAGTACCCGGCTTCGCACGGATTATTAGGTTGATAGTATGTGTATTCTGAACCCATTATAGCACAAAAGTATAACCTGTATACTTTTTTTCCTAAGAAACATGACATAAAATCCTTGTTGGAACGCATTATTACTAAAACTCACTGGCTTTTATATATATTAGAAGTTGTAATATAAGGAACCACTTCTTTTCTATGTAGTTTTTCGCTAGCTTGCCTCATTAAAAACATGCGCACGCATGTGGACAATATAAGTAATATCCAGGTGCACACCTTCAGGGTTCACTTAGTATGGGTGCAAAATTTCAGGTTTCTAGGTTCTTTCCTCTTGTAGCTATGGCGGTCACACATACACATCCTCTTACGGGCCGCATGCGCGCACGCACACGCGTGTTTGTCTGTCTTTCTGTAATTTCTATTTGTAATATAAGGAATCACTTCTTTTCTATGTGTTTTTCGCTAGCTTGCCTCATAAAAAGATGCCCACGCACTTGGATAAGTAATAATACCCAGGTGCACATCCTCAGGGTCCACTTTGTATGTTTGCAAAATTTCAGGTTTCTTGGTTCTTTCCTCTTGGAGCTAAGGCGGTCACACACACAAAGACCCACAGACACGACATTTATTATTAAAAAATACTCGATCGTCGTTTAAACCTTATTTTTTTTAACAAATGGCGAATTAACTTCACTCTATGCTAAACAAATCCCTGGTATAAAAACTCCCTCCTTGACAAGCTTATGTTAGCGATTGAATTAAACTAAAATGGAATAGGCAATGGAAAGAGGAAGTATTATAAGAGAAAAAGTGGAATTGGACTCACGTAACACACGAAATTCGAGCGTGACCGACTGACACTTGGCTTTGATTATTATGATATGATAGTAAAACGTATTTTGCTCATTTTCGCTACATACTAGAGTTAATATGTTTAAGGCTATGTTGAATTTGGTATTCTTGTTTGTTTCTCAAGCTTCGTATAACATTTTGTATATTGGATAAACTATTATGAAAGTGATGACAATATAACTTGTGTGACAGATTTGTTATTATATATTTATTTTAATATGAGCGTTTGTTTAGATTAAGTTTATATATAGAAATATGCATAGCTTATAGTGTTTAATACATATTGCGAAACTCCCGCCTATTCTCTAAAGTTGTAGAAGATTCTCGTCTGTACGAATCAACAATATATGTGTGTACGTAAGCGTTTGTGTTAACGTCAGTATTGTTAAGTAAAACTGAAATTTCGAGAAACTCTCCACACCCCTATAAATATAACCTATGTGCTGTAAACTTCGGAAGCTATAACTGTGATTATCATAACGCTTATTAATCGTAAAACTTAAGATATTTGACTAGGAGCATTTACAAAGTCCGATCATTACAAATAATTTAACTTCAGTGGATTCTCATCGGACATTAGTACTTTCACGAAAACATTATATAACTTCATCGTGGAAAACTCAGCGTGTGTGGCTGGTGAATAACGAAGGACAAAGCTAGCTAGATCCCCGTTAAGCGAATATCGGGTTTTACTTAACTGCTAAATCCAAAGTACATTTTAACTACTAAATTTAAATTATCAGTTAACTCCATTTCAGACCATTTGAAATTCTAATACGTAACACCTGCCGTTAAGTTTTGTTAAATACTTGTGTAATAGATCATGTCTTAGTTTTTTTTTTTTTTTTTTTTTCTAATTAAAACTTATATCAAACATATGAGTCTTGTCTCCCTCAGAACCCCCATCAGTTCCTCAGAATCTTTCGGTGAGCTTTGTTGACCAATCAACAGTCATTCTAGCCTGGCAGCCACCCAGATCATCTGGAGGCCGAAATGACACCACTTATCGGTTGACTTGTGACGTATGTGGGCATGCCGTATCATATGTCCCTTCTCAAATGGGTTTTAGTGAAACTAAAGTCACAATATCTGGTCTAAACCCTGTTACAACATACCGGTTTCAAGTATATGCTGAAAACGGCGTGTCTAGCTATAGTGAAAGCCAGTTTGTTGAAAGAACAGTAACAACAGCTGCTTCAGGTAGGTATTGTTAGTAGGGATTAGTATTCAAATATCTTTAAATACCATATTCGTTTAGCTTTTGGATCAAGAATCTTGCAAGTTTTCATTTACCAACTAATAAATTTGTTCTGTTTTTGTATGTGACTTTATAGTCAATATATACCTTATGGCTTCCATGCTAAAAATATAGGTACCATATTATGTATTTGTACCATATACATCCATAATCAGCTTTGTTTGATATCACAGTGCTTTAGAATAGTAAACAAAAGACTTTCTGTATATCTGTTAATGTATGCTTGAACTTCATCAAAGTTTGATATGGCCTAACACTTAGTAACAGTCAATAATACGTTTCTAAAAAAAACAGCTTGTTCTGCTTATATTATAAAAATCTACAGAAACACGATTAATGTTTATAATAATATAAAATAATTTTTGTCAGAGCAGATGAAAAAATGCAAATTTTTACACTGATGACACAAATACCACTAAAAAACTAGTTTGTAAAAACATTGTTCAGGTTAGTGCTAGGACAAAAATTGGAACATTTCAACGTTCTTGCCCCTGCTATAACTTATAGATAGAATAACTTTGATTTGATTGATACTGTAAAAAACAAAACAAAATCAATAAACAGTATTATCTTTCGTTAGCAGTGAGACTTGTAGGACATTGACTAATTGTGTTATAGAAATGTATTGGATAAGTAATTTGTGCCCTAAAAGTGTTAGGCACTGTTGTCTCTGGTCTACTTTGTGTTAGATATTATTATACTGATAGAGATCGCAAGGAAATGTAAAAAACCGTGATACAACGTACAGGCAAATGCACCTTAAAGTTAAACAGTAAATATTCAGTTCAAACAGCACTTTAAAACCTTTACTATTGACTGCCAAGACTGTACATATATGAAAATGCACAAAAATTAGGCATGTTAGACTTGCAAGGAAAAGAAAATCTGCTCAAAAATGCCGTTTGTAATTATTCTTATTGTTATTATTCTCTTTCCAGCCTATAACAAAAACGGCTTGGTATATTTGTTCCAAACCTTTTGTAGAATACTAAATAGGATCGTAGGGGTATTGAAAAGCCAATTTATTTCTTCTATATTTTACATTAACTAAAAAATACCGTACTTCTAGTGTAAACGACGTTATCATTGCCCCTTGAAGTTAGCTTTCTTACAAACATCTGTCGTTCTCTTAAAAAGCTTAAGTACAGAAATTATCAGCCAATAATAGATGAACATTAGATGACTGTAACATGTACATACTCAATACTTTGTACCCTATACAACTGGTGTTGTTAGGGAGCAAACCCCTATATTATGTATGAAGTGAAGGAGTAAAAAAAAAATTAGTACACATAATATTAAATTTTGATACACACATTTGTAGCATAATTACTTTAAAAGACACAAAGATTTATTTAAAGTGATGTTCGAGACGTATGTGTTTTATTTGAAAAGGTTCCTTCTCTACTGAGAAAATTTTATACAAGCTTGGTGGAGGTTGTGTCTTAGTCTAAGTATATAGCAATTTGCCCATTGCTATGCATTATGTATAATGTATAGAAATTTAGTTACACAGGAACTATAAATGCGCACTATATTCTCCAACAAATATCCATGACAATCTCCAGCTGCAGCTTAACATTTTACATCTCAAACTATTGTGATCAAATAGCCAATAGCTACAGTAAATCATTATGAACCGTATCAGCTAGCTACTAGCCATGTTTATTATCATTATAATGTATAAATTTAGCTACCATATCAAGTAATCCTTTACCCATAGTTGAACATAAAAAAAGCCAGCAGACAAGATAAATAAAAAATCGTGAATTTAAAAACTGCAAATAGGGATTACAAATAAGTAAGAAAACAAGGCTGGGGATACTGTAGACATTAGTTATTGACACTACAAACCCCTATTTTTGCTCCATGCTGTTACCTAGAATTTTAAATTCCCATTTTTTTGTATTTATCTTGTATTAACTTGCACTCCACATGTAAGCTGGACCCATTAATGCTTCACAGGTATGTTATCTGCAGTAACCAGTATACTAGTGCTGTATAAAATGCATTAACTCATGCCTTTCAGGTGTGTTATTTGTAATAACCAGTGTACTAGTGATGTATTAGATGTAGTAATTCATGCATTACATGTGTGTTATATGTAATAATCAGTGTACTAGTGTAGTGGTATATTAGATGCAGTACCTCATGTTTTAGAGGTGTGTTAGAGATGTTGTGTTGTAAATGTAGTATTCTATACTCAAAATGGAAGTATGTTATGTGTTTTTGACATACATGTTGTTTGATGTAACATTTGTCCCAAAGTTGCATTAGATTTTGCAAGTTGGCCTCTAGAACTATGTTCAGTACATTTTTTTACATTTTCCTATTTCAAGGCACACAGGGGATAACTGTGAGATTTAGACTATTGTCTTTTTGTTTATATGGTTTTACCCCTGTCATGGTTTGTTGAGAGGTAACTATGAGATTTAATCTATTAACTCTTCTTTTTTATTGTTTTGCATGTCCCAGGGTAACTGGAAGTTTTATACATTAATACTTGTTTTTCTCATTTACACAGTCTACCACGTGTCTATCAAATCATCCTCGTCAGTTAATAACTTCAGAGTGCTATCTGTGAAAAGTGCAGTTGTTGTCCTTGCCTGGGATCCCCCAGAGGATCCATACATTCAGACAGAGATTTATGAAGTTCGCTACTTCCTACGTGGACAACAGAGTAACTCATCTTCCGTCTTAACGAAGAAACCAGAGTCTTCATTGACTGGATTGACTTACAAGACTGAGTATGGCTTTCAGGTGTGTGGTTTCAGGTTCAATTTTGTGGTCATCAGTTGTTTCGTTCTCTAATTCTTATATATTTCATTGATGTTGCTTGTAGTTCATTTAGAATTATCATAACTTGTAAAGTTTTATTTGCACTTTCAAACCATGTCATAGATTTGTTTAAATTTATTATAAGGTATTGCTCATCCTATTATGCTAAACATAATTGCAGCAATGTTTTTTAAGCTTTAATTTTAGGATATGTTACAAAAATGTACTTTGTGTAACAGCTAGTTCAGTAAATAGTACTAACAATAGCTCAAATATAAATATGAAATAGATGTGAATGCTTTAAATACTTTCCTGTGTTAATCTTGAAAATTATAGTTTTAAGTAAGCTGGAACATATTGTTTGTACTTAAATTGCTCTTTCTTTTACTTTCTTTTTTTTGTTAGTTTTATGTCTTATGTGTTTATAACACTGACAGTTTTAAAGTTGTACTTTACATTCTTATCCATCTTGTGCTGTGTTACATCAGTTTTTGCTATTTTATGTAAGTTTTATCTAACACTTATTTGTATAGGTCAGAGCTAAAACTACCCATGGCTGGGGAGAGTACAGCAAGCCTATTTATACAACTACTGGTCAACTAGTTGATAGTACAGGTATGGTTATGTTTGTTTAAGTTTATACTCAAAACTTTCAACATCATGCTATTTTGTATTCACTTAACATTCAAATGTTCAACAAACTATGCAGTTTAAAACAAGACTCAGTTGCTATTTCACAGTCACAGTAATTGTGTAATTCTAAGAAGTAAGTTAACATAGTAAATATAACTTTATTAATTGCAACACATAGGCTTGTGAAACTTTACATATATAATTAACAAAGCAAAATATTACATTTATGTGAGACTGTAGGTATAAAGTAATGAAATCAAGCATTAATGCAATGTTGTTATGTAAGATTAGTATCAAGAATGGCCTTATGGATTTCTGTACTGTTCTTGTTTTACAATATTAAGTTTCACTTCATTGATTTGTAGGGACAGAATGTTCCCACTTTTGGTAAGAAGTGTGAAATTAAGTACTTAAAAATGATCAATAATAATCTGTTTTCAGCCAGTTAAGAATAAAAAGCTTTAGATGTAATCCCAGCATTAGTCATATGCTTTGTTCTACATCACACCTTAACAGGAGTAATGTTTCAACCAGAACCTGTGTTATACATTATAGGAATAAATTGTATTTTATTTAAAGAAAAAATACGACAACACTAACTACTATATGATTGTATGATATGAACTTCCTTAATTAGTTATGTATATTTTCTAACCATCAGCTTATGTAGAAGAAGAAGAAGATCAAGTGCAGGTGCGCATCATAGCTGGAGCAACTGTTGCTGTGGTTGTCTTGGTTGTGGTGATAGTTGTTATGATTGTCTTGTACATTAGAAGGTATTTATATAATTATATATATATAAATTATCACCAGGTGATTGCATATTAGAAATTAGTTTTCTACATAATTATTTTTTTGTACAAAGTGTTAGCCTTCATTATTACCTTATATATTAGAAGGTAATTTGTGTTTTATAACAGGTAGTGTTATTAGTCATTTTAATACACAAATATGTTAAAAAGCTGATATATTTCCGTTATCTTGGTTGTAAACATTAAAAGATATGATCTTTATATGTTAAATTATAAAATTTATTCCAACATGAGAGACACCTGGAAAACAAAGCAAAGAAACATTTTTACTGATGTACAAGAAAATAATCATACAGTGTTAGGAATGAAAGACAAGGCCATGAAATTCCATTACAATTATTTCATTTACTTCTAAAGAATAATATTAGTATTAAAATGTAAAACAAATGTAAATATATATTTTCTTTGTTTATTATTGTTAAATGTAAAACAAATGTAAATATATTTTTCTTTGTTTCTTTATTATTATTAAAATGTAAAACAAATGTAAATATATATTTTCTTTGTTTATTATTATTAAATGTAAAACAAATGTAAATATATTTTTCTTTCTTTGTTTATCTACTTCATTATCTTCATTTTTTATTTAGGAAACATGTTTAGGAGTTTTTCTTTTTTTTTAACTTTAGCCTAGAAGATGACAGCTTGATATTTTTAAAGATATTTATTTAACTTACTCTAAACTTTTACTGATTTTGATAAACTATTTTTTTACAGAAGTTCTGATGACTATAACAAAAAACAGCCAAGTGATTGTGACACTCTTGATTATGGTACTGGGGAGGGTAAGAAATGTAAGGACCAAATGTTTATTTTTTCCTTCTTTGAGATTTATACAGGCCTCCCAGTAAAAACCTTTAAAACTTATAAAAACAATTTTTTTGTTCTTATCCTTTATTTCTATTATTTTTGCCCAAACAATCTATAAACTTAAAGGTAAAATTATATTTTTAAAAGCTTTGTCACAAAATATTTAATACTGTGGTCTTGATATTATTATAAGTATCGAATAGAGAACCATGGAAACACAACAAATTTGCAGAATTTTTTATGTGGACTAATAATTCAGACCTCTTTATCAGCATTATCAAAACTTGTAATCGTAATTTCTATTATCACACACCAAATAATGGATTTATTCATGGAACCTTTACAGATGGATATAGAAATTATCATTTATTATTAATCAAATATAAGTTACTTATATATATTTTACTCAATATATTTAGGAAAAAGAACCCATAAAATAAACTTTATTTTTGGAATAGCTCTCTGGGAGGCCTGTTTCAACTTAAAAAAATAAATTTTCAATTATGTTTAAACAGTAGTTAAAAAGTATATTTACTAATGTTGTTTGTATTGTTCTAAGTGTACTTTGAACAACCTTAAATTATATGTCCTATAAGAATAAAGTATATATATAATGAATACTAAATAAAGTGATTCTTATAGCACTAAGTTGAAAGGCTGTTGCTTATCCTAATGGTGGTGGTTAGGACTGTTAAATTGTGACTTATTGGTATTGGTGAAGGGTAGACTAATGCACATATATATAAAACATGAGGGTTGTAACAAACTTAGTGTAAGGTTGGACATTAAAGATTTGTCTTTAAACCAATGTTGTAAATTCAAGTTTAAACATCCAAATTCTTAACAGTCAAGTTTAGTCACCTAATTGTCATAAACCAAGATTCTTAGAATAAAATTTATCATCAACATCACTCACACAGGTGAAAGGTCAGTAGGGTTGCTTGTGAAAACTCTTTTTCTTGAGCTCTTTCAAACTGACGCTTTTCTATTAATGGCTGCTGATAGAACATGCTTTCCTTCCTTTGACAGTAGTTCCGGGTTTAGAACATCCTCCAATCGTTCCTACTGCCGGAAGTAAGTATCTTCTTCTCTTAACTCTGGCTTTTTTCTTCACAGCTAAGCTTGCGGCTAGAATAATATAATTGTTTACAATCACAAAGTAAAGTAGTGTTTGACATAACATGTGTAGAAATGTTAATGTACAAAAATCACAAGAGTGATAATCATCAATCAACTGAAAATAGTAAAATATTAGTCATATTAGTTAAAAGGTCATTGAGACATATTTGATCACTAAAATGTTTACAACTACAATGTATAATTTGTGTAAAAATTTACTGCTTATGTTAATGAACCTCTTTAGTTATATGATAATTTCAATAACTCTCTCTCTACTTTTCATAGTGACTACTCTCCTTTTTACCCATTGTGGGGGTCCAAGAAGTTACATAGATCCACATACTTATGAAGATCCCAACCAGGCAGTTAGAGAATTTGCTAAAGAGATAGATGCTTCTCACATCACTATAGAAGCTATCATTGGAGGAGGTGAGGGTTTTGTGCATTACTATGTAGAGTATATTAGTAGGCCAAACAATAAAGTATATAAATCAATTTTCACAGATTGCCACTGAAACAATTATTAGGATAGATTAGTAGTTTCTACATATCTAGAAACCAACTGTAGGAGATTTAAAAGTCACATCAAGATGCAGTTACTTCTTATAATTATGAAAGGTGATCTTCACTCATTGGTATAAGAGCAATCTGTGGAGTAGAAAAAGAGTTTAATATGGGGACAGATGTTTTGTACATCATCCTAGGAAATACTATTGCATTTAAGTGTTTAATTTGGTTCAAATGTTTCACAAAATCACAGAAAACCATCAAAATAAGAGATACATTTTACTATGGATGCAGGTGTTTCTCAAATCATTATAGAATTTCATACTGTGGAAAGTGCCATTTTATTGTTCGAGTGCTTACTGTGGAGGTAAATGATTCTCTTACCCTTTTATAAACTACTATTTGGGGAAGTAACAACATTTAGATAGATAAATATTATTTATGACTGTAGTTTCCATTATAAAGAATAAACAAAACTGTTCTGGAGTTATAAAAATCAACATACTTGAGTAAGAAATATAGTAATGGACAATAAAACTATATGCATTAAATTACTTTAATAATGAACATATTTTTGGTTTTTAGTTAAACAATGCTTTACAATGATTTTGATGTTGGATTTTTCAGTTGATCTAAGATTGGATATTAAAATGATGGCAGCAAATATTATACTTTTGACTTCAGGCAAATGTATTTCTTAGATTATAAAATAAGACTTAATTTCAGAAGCTGTAAAAAAGTAGTACAATAATTATTCAGGACTAAATGTATTTCTTCATTCATGTGTTGTGGTCATTATATGATTGTAGAAAAATAGAAATTATTTATTGTTATGTTTTTTTATTTTTCAATCATATTTATAATGATGAAGTACCAAAATTGAGTATATTACAGGATTGTTGTAATTAATGGAAATTAGAGATCTTCTAAAATTAGGTTTACAAAATTTTACTTACTTGGTCCTAATCTCCTTTATTACTCTGTGTAGATCATGTCTTTACTGAAACGTACAAGACTAGTAAATACAAAATCTTCTCTGTAGTAATAAAAAGGTCTTTTTGCTTTCTTTTTTCATATTCAAAGGTGTTATTTGCTTATTTTTATTGGTGAAAATTTACATTATTATTTCCTTTATCATTACCAAACATGTATCAGTTTTTCTGATTTCATTGACTAATTAAGCTAATAAAATGTATAACAGTTTTTAGTTGTTGGTTAAACTGAAATTATAAGTAGTATAACAGAGTTTCTGGCTGCCACAGGAGAGTTTGGGGATGTATGCAAAGGAAAGCTCAAAGTACCCTCTCAGCCAGAAATAACAGTTGCCATTAAAACTTTGAAGCCTGGGTCACCTGATAAAGCCCGCATGGATTTCTTAACTGAAGCAAGCATCATGGGACAGTTTGATCATCCAAATGTCATCTACCTGCAAGGCGTAGTCACAAAAAGTTACCCAGTCATGATTATCACAGAATATATGGGGAATGGGTCTCTGGATACATTTCTCAGGGTAAGTTTATTGTATGGGTCATATAAGTTGTTCAGTTATTGACACGCTTCTCAGTGTAACTTCTTTAGGTGGATCTAGCTCAGTAAATAACTTCTTGGACTCTTAGCTTGATATGCCGTTTTGTTTGTCCACAATATCCACGATAGTTTACCATTTAGCAAGATAATGCTAACAACCATGTTTCTCTGTGGTTCATTTATGTAGAATAATCTGATGTTTCTAACTTACTAGTCAATCAGCAAAATATATAGCATAATTTTGTAAAGAATATTTTGAGGTCATTAAACAATACACTGTTTGACAGTAAGTTTCATGAGTCGTAAAATGTCTCTGTAGACTGATCATATCCAAAAGATTTTTCCATTTGTATGTGTTATCCTCTAAGTATAGTTAATATTATTTAGAAGATTTTATTGCTATAAAGAACTGTTAAAAAAGAACTTACACATGATATACTTTTAAAATATATAAGTCAATTATTCTACCAGGCTAATGATGGAAAATTCCAAGTTATCCAGCTAGTTGGAATGCTGAGGGGTATTGCAGCAGGAATGCAGTATCTATCCGAGATGAACTATATCCATAGGGTAAGTATTAATATGTTACTCAACAGTATATATGTGAGATTAACTATGTCTACATAAGTATTGTTGTGTTCTTGACAGCACACACCTGTGATGATCTATGTATACATAAGTATTAATGTGTTCTTGACACAACACACCTGTGATGAACTATGTCTATATAACAAATATTAATGTGTTTTTCACAATTCATGCTTTAGATATTACTTCTTTATATACATACAACTAAATTTTGTATTTTCTATAATAGTTATGTTTAATAAACTGTGTTTAGTAACAAATACTTGAATGATTTATAAAAGATTACCAAATACAGAGTTTATGATAAACTCTGCTATCCTATAAATGAATTGTTTAGTAGTTATAAAAAAAGTATTTTATTAAAAAGGAAAATTATTGGAATTGTTCATTTTTTTCTTTAGTAATATGTAGGTTATGAAATTATTTGAAAAAATAATACAAATTTGATATAACTTGTTTTAGTAAAAGAATTACTTAGAATAATATATAAATGTTTCCTTAGGACTTAGCAGCCAGGAATGTATTGGTGAACAACAGTCTAGTTTGTAAAATTGCTGATTTTGGTTTGTCTAGAGAGATAGAGAGTGCTGCTGAAGGAGCTTACACAACCAGGGTAAGTAAGAAAATAATCACCTTATCTGCAAAATTACTGTCTGTGGTGTGTATAGATATAGAGAGATGGTGTTGCCAAAACAAATAGGGTAAGTAAGAAAACAATCTAATCTTTAAGAATGTTGACTTTGTTGTGTATAGTGAGATAGGGAGTGCTGCTTATAGAGTTTCCAGAAGTATATGAATAACATTGTGTTCCACAGTCTAGATTTTTGCTTATCTTAAAAACAGCAACACAAGAGATTGTCCACATAAATTTCACCATTACACCTTCACTTGAAAACTCAAATCTTTGCTTTGATCCCAAACGTTTAAGTAGTTTTTTATTTCTTCAGTGAATACTGAAACTGTAGCTTGTTCCTTTTATAGAAAAAATTGTGGGTTGTTTTTACTTTATAATGATAAAGCTGCCAGAAGTAAAGGGTATTTAAATGAAATTTTCATCATATACAAATAAAAGTTATTCTTTGTAACTCCCCTTAAATTCTTTTTTTAAATATTAAAAACAAAAATGGCTTCAATATTGAATGCATCAAGAAAAAGCTAATTTTAATATATGTAGGGAGGAAAAATTCCAGTAAGATGGACAGCCCCAGAAGCCATTGCTTTCCGAAAGTTCACATCAGCCAGTGATGTGTGGAGTTTTGGCATTGTTTGTTGGGAGGTGATGTCATATGGAGAACGACCATACTGGAACTGGTCCAACCAAGATGTTATCAAGAGCATTGAAAAGGGATACAGGCTTCCAGCACCAATGGTGAGTATTTATTGTAATATTTATCTTCAAGCTATAAACATTTCTGGAAAATTAATATTACGTGTATCATTAACATTATGAAATTACTTCAGTATCATAAATGAAAGTCTGGCTGAATTGTTGTAGAAGCATAAATGAATATAGAATCTGTTTAAAAGTCAAGTTTACACGTGTTCTTTATCTTTATTACCAACAATCTTCAGTATCATAAATGAAAGTCTGGCTGAATTGTTGTAGAAGCATAAATGAATATAGAATCTGTTTAAAAGTCAAGTTTACACGTGTTCTTTATCTTTATTACCAACAATCTTGAAGAAGTTTGTACCTGTGTATCATGACCCAATACAAGTTGCAGGTTATAGAATGTTTTCCTCTTTTGGGTCTTACTATGCTTTTTGGTAAAACTGGTGAGTAATCTTTTAAATAATCTCAAGAAGCCTCATTCACACTAAAGTCATAAACACGAACAAACCAGGAATGTTTAGCTGGGAGAATTTTACCCTTCTTACCTTAGATTACTTCAGTCTTAAATATAATTCAGAAATAAGATTTATTTCTCATTCGAGATGTGTCTTGATTAAATGTTAAGTTAATTGACTTAAAAACTCAACACTAATCATGAGAGTAATAAGGCACTGAAGTACACAAGGGATTTTCACTAAAGACGTGTTAACTTAATGGAAGTTCTGATAAAACATTCTGTTCTTTCAAAGTTATAATGAATAAAACTATCTTCATAATTGTTTTTATAATAGTTTAGAGGATACTGTGACTTATCAGTTTCTTCAAGAAGCCTACAGCACTTCATTCAAACAGTATAGTGTACAATGTCCCACTTCAAAAACCTAGTATTTAGGGTTTTCAAACTAATAGTAGAGAAAAATCCCCCTACTTGTATATGCCATGGTTGTTTCATTGTAAAGAAAAGTATATTGGATAAACTACAAAAACAATGTTCACTTATAACAAAGAACTCATAGGATCCATAATAGATTAAAGCTTATACTTTACAACACATGTTGGGCTTTGAATTACTAATACAATCTTGTTGTTTTTAAGTCACTGGTAGCACTGAAAGATATATTTTCATTTATGCTTCTTATACTTATTTCTTACACACACTTGTAGTAAAATATAATTTTCTTGTTACTTACAGATATTAGTAACATAAACCTACTTCATAATCTATTTAAGATGTATAAAAATAAGGTTAAATGTCTCCATTTTGTTACTAAAGAACATACATTTGTAAGGTAAGCTACGTCATTGCTACTTTAAGTTGTGATAAGTAAGATAAAAGCACATTATTTTCTTTTGAAGATGTGCATAAATATAAAAAAATAAAGTAAAAATACTTTAATAATTGTCAGTGTATAGCACTGCTGAAACACAGTCTTTACGGGGATGTACACTGTTTTTAATAAAGCTAATTTTATTGTGCAACAATTTAATGTTGCATGTTGATTTTTAATATTTGAAAATATAACCACTATATTGTTGCTAAGATGTATATAATTAATGCAAAATTTACTGATTGTTAAATAGAAATGCGCATCAGTAAGATAAATCTGATTCATCGTCATTGAAGATTTATGTAGCTAAAGTAAAATCTCATCATTGTCACTTCCATAAAGTACAGCCACTTAACTGTTGTGTGAAGATGTATATAGGTATCACCTGATTTTTAACTGAAGCTATACATAAGAAAAAGCAACATCACTTGATTTTCTATTGGAGATATACATAAGTAATATTATTGGATTTTCAACTGGATATACACAGACACACATACACAAAGTATAGCCACTTCATTGTTGCCTGAAGGCGTATTTGATAAAATACAGAATACTGTCACTTGTAATGTACCTAAATAATATGAAACAATTTCATTGTTAATTCAAGATGTTCATCAGTAAGTAGATTAAATACTTCATTTTCACCTGAAGATATAAGTATATCCATAAGTTGCGCATGGCATTTATAACTACTTAATTTTTCATTACATGTTACTTTTGAAAATATCTTTCAGGACTGTTCAGAAGCTCTTCATCAACTAATGTTAGATTGCTGGCAAAATGAACGTTCCTACAGACCCAGTTTCTCCAGCATAGTCACAACCTTAGATAAGTTAAGTAGATGTCCAGACAGTCTACGAAAGATAGCTAATAATAAGTGAGTATGTTGTAATACACCTTAAAATTCTTTAAAACTTAAATAATTTATAGGTTTCTATTTAACATTTCAGTAGAAACAAATTTATTGAACCAATGCCCTGTCAAGACAGATGATGTACAGACTTCCAAAAAAAAGTATAATCATTTATGTTGTTACTTGTGATCAGATGGTGGAATGCTAGTCTGATTTATTAGTTTAGTTAACATAACATATGAACAACAAAGGGTCAATTGGCCCTTCAAACTATTCCTGCACACCCACCCAGAAGAAAAAGAAGTAAAAATTAAACCCACTACTCAAACCCATGGATAATCTTTTAATTCCAAAAATATCACCTCGTACTCTTCTTTTCTCAAGAGAAAATTTTAGTTAAAAGATCTTAAACTATCCCCTATAAGGTAATCCATAGATGGAATCATCCTAGTAATTCTTTTTCCTCACCCATATGCTCTAGATTACAACTGATAAAGGAATGGAAATTTTCTGTCCTTAGATGTTATTCTGTCTTAGAAATGTTTGGGGAACTGTAAAAAACTAAGAGGGACATTTCGTGTATTGTTATGCATATAAACTGTATAAAACATTTGTTGTAGTTTAATAATGCACCCACTGGTGATAAAATGATTTCTGTTAATCGCTCTCTTTTAACCCACATTATTTGATGTATGATGTCAGTTTTCTTGAAACATGAGATGACACAGTTCTCATAGATAAATCTGTAAAAAACAATTGGTGTTGACAGTGGTGCAAAGAAAGCGATTCTGTAAATTGGTATGGAAAAATTGATATTCCCAGACAATTTGTTTTTGTAACTGCCGTATGAATTATGGAAGCAATGAAGAATATGTCAAATCATTCTTAGCACAGCTAAGTAACCAACTCCTTCCAGCACAAAACCCGTTACATCAATAATGTTCTTGAATGTGAGAAATGTAGAACATAATGGGGTACAGAATTTTCAGAAGTACAAATGTTAGAAATATGTAACGTGACAAGGCTGTACAAAATTAATAGGAATATAAGCAAAAGTGTAAAAAATTTATGATATAATTGCTCTGTTTTTTAACTAATTCTAAATCGTGGAAAATGAAATAAAAAATAATTAAAATGTTGTTATATGTATTCATATTCTATGTTAAAATATGGTGATGCCCATTTTATAATAATCACTGCTAAAAGATAGTTCAGCTCAGTATTTGGAATAGACATCATCTTTGTAATGCAAAACTTAAATATTCATATGAATATATTACAACTGTGTGAAATAGTGAAATAATTTTTAGTTCTTTTTTTGATCTCAGGAATCAGAATCCATTGGATCCTCACACATCAGACATGATGCTGTTCAAGTCAATACCAGAGTGGTTGGACAGTCTAAAGATGACTCGATATCTGGAGAATTTTGATCATGCTGGTATAACAACAATGGAAGCAGTGGCCAGGTTAACCCATAAGGATTTAACAACCCTGGGTGTGACTTTAGCTGGACATCAGAAAAAACTACTCAATAGTGTTCAGATGCTCAGGGCTCAGATGTCAGAAGGTTTCCTTGTGTAGTGAGCACATGTGTGCAGGCACTGTCTTATTGTACAAGGTTTATTTAATAGTTTTGTGACCACTGTGTCCAACAAGAATTTGAATAACTTAGTTCAACCAAACATATCACAGACTCCAGGGTCTCAAATGATGACCATTTTGATATGTTGATCAAAATAAGACTAAAGATATGTTTTCATTTACTTTTTTCGTGACTATTATTTCATTAACTAACTATATTGATCAACAGAAAGAAGACTTAAGTCATGCCTGTTTATTGTCTTTGGAGCCTCTTTTATTTTTTAATGGCCATCATTAACAGAAGACTAGGACCTGCTTGATCACAGTCTCTGATAACCACCATCAACAGGAAACTGGGATGTGCCTGTTTATAATCTCTGGAGTCTTCGTTGGTTAATCACCATCATCAGGAGAATAAGACATGCCTGGTTACAGTCTCTTGGAGCCTCTCTTGATAATCGCCATCAAAGATGACTAATGCATGCCTGTTTACTGTTTTGGAGCCTCTTTTAATGACTACCATCAACAGAAGACTAGACATGCCTGGTTACAATCTTTGAAGGCATCTTTAACAACTACCATAAATGCAGTAGTTGACATACTTGGCTACTGAGTCTTCAAGTCAAGCCTTTTGAAGAATCTCATATCACCTTTCTGCTGTTTTGATCTGCCGAAAACTAGGCTATGTCTTGATACTTCTGAGGCAGGAATAAAGTTATGACTAGAACTTGCTGGTGCTAGTGAATAGATGAAGATTAACTTCTGAATGGAAAAAAATGTGATGGTGCTCTGTCAGATTTTAGCTTGTACAAAAATTAGTGAAACATTTAAAAAAAGAGTTCAGACAATTTTTCTTCTGCAAGATGGTTGCTCTTGACATAGGGTATCCTCTCTGATGTATGCAAGCTAGTTTAAAGGTGAGCTCCTTGAGAATATGCAAATGTATATGATGTTTCTGCTTGTGAATTTGCTGTTGTTCTGTGTCTCACATTGTATCAATGCCAGGCAGGTAGAGGATCTGTCCACTCCCACAGTATCAAACATTTTCACCACTGTGAACTTATTTATTTAATATTTGCTTTCTGTGAAATTAGTCACAAACAAAGTGACATTGTAAAATAAAATTGTACATTGTTGTGAGAAAATGAGTGACAACATAGGCAGGTGTATTTTGTAAGTGGTTGTTTTTGTTTTCAAATGTGGTAGTAGTCTCACTAGTCACATGTCATGTGCTTAAGATTGGCCAATATTGATTGTAATATTATTGGGAGAGTAATTAAATAATCAGTGTTACTTTCTAAATGGTACCTTTTATTAGAAAACCAAATTATTAGAGGAATAGTTACCCTACTGTGACAGGTTTGTCGTCCATCCATCCAAGTGTATCAGTAGCAGCGTCTACTCTGGCTCGTAATTAATTCTGTTTCAAACCTTTGAGAATCAAATAAACAATAATTTTTAAAAACTTGTTTTACTCTGTGTTAATAATTCAGCACTAAGAACATAGTGATGGCACTGTAATGATCAGTGATAAAAGAATAAGACAAAGCTTGAGCAAAAGTGATAAATTAGTAAATACAAGACCTTAACTTGGATGGTTAATTGTTTTTGTTTTTTTCCTATATTGGGCATAAAATGTCCATATTTTACACTTCAAAAGATGTTTACAACATCTAAATCCTGAAATCACTCCTAGCTTTAAACTATTGTTATATAACCCCTATCAGCTACTTTCACTGTAATTTACAGAATGCATATGTGTAGAAATAGAATTGATAGAATTTCTAGAATGAACAATGTTTCCCACCCCTATTTTTTCGACATAAATGGTCACTTAAATGATCAGGAATTGTAAGCAAGAAACACCAAAATGTTTTTATAAATGTTCAGTAACTGTTGCATTAGTGCAGAAAAAAACTCCCCAATGATTATTTGATTAATATTGATTTTTGATATCAAAACTGAACAAGTTTTTGCTTTAATGTAGTAAAACGTCCTATAATATAGGACCTTATTCCTATAGGACTTCATATAAATGGGTTTTTCAACATTCACCACATATGAGGTTTGAATTGATAGGATGATAGAATAAACCTTCTAGAACACCCCCAACAAGTATGTGTATGTGGTTTCAAAGTGTGGTATAATTTTTTTGATAGGTGAGGGGAACAGTGTTACAGCCATTCAAAATCTGGAGTAGAAACAACCTAGATGCTCATATATTTGCCAATATTCAAGATTTTGGTGTCAGTGAATCTTTCTTAGAACCTCCTAGGATACTACATAAGAATAATTATTGTTAAAAGAGATAGAAGGCCACATAGGCAAATTTACACATGTTGTATTTATTATTATGAAATCCAAGTTCATGCACCAATAAGTGTTTATTCTACTCATGGTTGATTGTACAGTGAAAATGAACTCTACATATTTAACAGCTTATCCATGATAGTAAATGGAATATCATTGTTGTGTTTCTGAGATTTACACATGGACAGTCTAGATGAGGGAAAAAGTAAGTGCCTCACACCTTCAAAGAGAAAGAAATGTACCAACTTTGAAAAATGCATCATCTGCTAGGCAGATACTGGTGAGACTGAAAAAGCCATGGGAGGCCTCACTACAGGTTCTTATTTGTGCATGGTGATGATGTTTTTGAGAACTTAAAACCAAACATAGATCGTCTATCTGATTTGTCGATTGGGTGGTATTAGTGCTATGAAATGCGTATGAGTAGAAAAATGAAAAAGCTGCCTCTTACCCAACACTTTCATGGACCTCTACCATTAACATTGCTGGTTCCTATGGTTCTTTAGAATCATCATGGGGTTTCTAGTTACAGTCATCACCCATGGACAAAAGACCTGCCAACTCTTACGATTTAGGCGTAATTGTTCCGATTTTTTTTCCCCCATTTTATACTCGTGCGAATTGTGTTATTTTACAATTGTATGCGTAATTACGGAATTTTTTCATAAACCTTTTTTCACTCATAATTATCCGTAAATAATTCTCCGTTTTGCGTCTCAGTCTTACAAATGCTTGAAATAGTCTATTAAAAAACCATGTAAGTAGTAAATGTCTAGGGTGCGGTGATCATTTTTTGAGAAGAAAATCGTGGGAAAACGTGATTCTGCTTTGAATTATGAAATTGAATTGGAATACAGGAAGGTCAGCTTCCCACTTCAAGACACAACTTTAACAGTCAGAAAAAGTTTTTTTGGAATCGGTAGAGTACTTTGTTGGAAAATTCAAACCATTTATTGCAAGGGATGCAACTTGGGCCAGTACAATGAATTTTCATCAGCAGCAATTTCTCACCTATCAGGCTGATCCATTGACTGAGGTAAACCTCAGTGGGTCAGCAAACAAGTGTTGGTATAGTATTGGAAAGATGAGCTGGACAACTTTAAATATAATAAAATCTCCGAAGTAATGAGTCTATCCTCGTAATACCACAAGGCAATGCAGGTTGTGAGAGGGTTTTCTCGTTTGTTCGCAAAAATAGGACAGACTTTCGAGGATCACTGTCAAACTCTACCTTACAATCAGCGCTGATAAGAAAGATGGAGATGGCACAAAAACCATGTATTCTTCCAAGAATTTACAGATGATTTCCTAAAGAAAGCCAAGAGTGCTACTTAAAGGGCTATAAATCAGTAGTACACTGTAATTAGTAAGTATTAAATAAAACATAATTAGTAGCAACACAATTTCTGTTTACATTTTTGGCTATGGCTTCTTTTTCCCAGTAGGGATTACTATTTTTCAGAATTTCATTTTGACGGGTCTAGGTCTAAGTGCCTGTTTTGTAATAATATAACCCACAAAAACAAAGATGAAGGAGATGATGGCTGCTATTACCTTTCAAGTAGGTGAGACTATAGTAGTAGTACTTCATGGTGTCGAAAATGCAGCAGAATTCAAGCACCACAAAGCCTGCTTCTCCTCATATATCAGTAAGAACAATCTGAAATAACTAGGTTCAGTGAGGAGAAAAATAAACACACCTATCTGCAGCATTGATTTAATTAGCTACAGAAATCACAAGGCCTTGTTGAAAGAAAAAGGTATAGATGTAGAATATTATAATAGCCTGACTCAAACTCTTAACTAAAAAAAAAAAATTCACTTGGGACATATTATCACATCCAGCTCCATATTTCTGCAAGATTTGATAAATACTATTTACCAGAAGACTACCTCAGCCTGCATAGAAGAGTCAATCATTCAGCCTGAAGCACCAGCCAAACTAGTATTACATATACACGACTATATCATTTTAATATTTATACATAAATTATGATTTAGATAGTTATAAAGCACAAGTGTTAAACTTAGTATTTAATCAGTGACTTAACTATACTGCCAATCTAAAGAAAAGGATGAATCTGTGTGGCTTTTTTAATAAAAACATGGTGTCACATGAGATAAGAAAAAATGCAAATGGATCAATAACTTGTACTTAATGGTACAAGATGATGAGAGGGTGGCGCTTGTTATCTTCTCGGGACTTCTCCGAAGACTGCAGCATATTAGCAGTTGAAACGTAGAATAAAAACTAGTTAGTAATTAGAAACTATTTATGTATTTTAAAAATTACAAATAAATAATTAGACCAATGCGATTGTACAGGATGCTAACTATGACAACGATTGATATCAGATTAGACCTGACATGGTGTGATGGGTAGGATGCTCAAGTGGCAACCTGCGGGTCGCGGGTTCGAATCTCATCACCAAACATGCTCGCCCTTTCAGCTGTGGGGAGCTAGTGTGACGGTCAATTTTACTTTTTGTTGGTAAAAAGAAGCCCATGAGATGGCAGCGGGTGGTGTTGACTAGCTGCTTTCCCACTAGTCTGTCACTTCTAAATTAGGGACGGCTAACGCAAATAGACCTCTAACAGATTTGCAAAAATTTAGCAAAAACAAACAAACAATATCCGATCGCCAAAACATTACCGTTTGTATCTAAAGAAATTAGCATTTATGTTATCTCTACCCAAATTGTGAACGACGTCATAATATCCCCTCGCAGTGCTGGATTAATCAAGCTTAGATTCCCAGTCCCACTATATATGTTTTGAATTACAATTATTTATCACCGATAAAATCCATAATAAAGTTTGCGTAGGTAAAAATCAATATTTAAAAACCAATTGAAACAATGAAAAAGTTAAACAGCAATAAAAAAGCATCATATAAGGCCCGTACATTCTCTATTTTGTTGGTTTTTAGAGCGAACCTATATTATGGGCTATCTTCTGTGTCCACCGCGGGGAATCAAACCCTGGATTTTAGCCGCATTCTCAAATAGGAGGCTTAATTAAATTTGCCAGCTAAAAAGATAAAAAACATTTAGAAAATGAAAAAAAAATTAATAAAATAATGAAATTGAATTACGAAAAAATTTTAAACTATAAACATTAATTTTTTAATGTCTACAGATTAATTGCTGCCAAATTTGGTTTGAATGTATAACTCGATAAAAACATTTTTTTTGGCAAAGCCGTAAATTAAGACACGCAAAAATATAAACAAAGAACACAGTTCAGTTTTAATTTGGGCTCCCTTACGACATGGAACTATAGCCCAAATGGATAATCCGGATATGCCCCCTTGCCAATACAATGGCCTCAAGTACAAAACTAAAAGGAGAGTTTGAGACTACATATTATCTTGGGTGTGTTCTAGACTCAAGAGGTTTTGTTTCAGTGGAATTTTTGGTAGACTTAGTAGGTTTGAGAACTTATATGGACTGCAGCTGCCTGTTGAACGAAAAAGGTCGACATTTTGGTTTTTATACAGAAGTCGTAGTCCTTTTTTTCTTCAATCAACAGGCAGCTGCAGTACATTTAAATTCTGAACCTTCAAGATGTTTTATTCTACCGACCGGACAAGCGAAATCATTGACTTGGTGGGTTTTGAAGAATGACGTACTTGCCACGCTGTGCTGTAAGCCTAATAGTTACCTAAAGAATTGGTAACGACATCTGATGGCCTTCATTTTTTATAGAAATCTTATTCCGACAAGTTAAAAAAATGCAACAAAAATTCCACATGCTCTCAACTAGCTAAATATATTCCTAGAGTTATTGCAACAACAGTCCATCATACCATAAGAGTAGTAATGCTGTTTGATAAACTTCATATTTTATAGGAATCCTATCCTGGTAATATTTATTCAAAAACCTGTATGAAACACTTGATAATTTTCTAAATACACTTAGTAAATATTATAATGTTATCTATTGACTTTTAACATATGTACGTATTTTTTCGCTTTTATGTATGACAAAGAAAACTGAATCAAACTTGCACAAAACGTTGTATACTCACTGTTAAATTTTTAAAAAAATCTTCCTAGACTTTGGAGAACCACTTTTATCAAATGTTCTAATTCATAAACTAACTGCATTTCAGATTACATACCAGGTAATCAGATGTCTAATTTGTACAACAATAA